TAGGGGGCCGTGCGCACGGGGTCTCCAGGGCTCATGTGCATGGGGGGGGGGGGATGGTGGTCGTGCGCACGGTACAAGGCCGTCGGCATGGGCGCTCGGTGGCTGTACAAATTCAAGATTGAAAGAAATTTTTTCGGCCAAAGCAACACAAAGGAGGCCAGATCCACTTGCCAAATACCAAATCCATGGATTGATATCAACAAAAACTCACAAGGAATAACAAATTGCAAGAAATTGGTATGGCTATTCTTTGTGTGGAATTTTTGAATTTAGGTAAGAACAAACAAAATTAGGCTAGAAAGGTGAAAGGGCTAACCCTAACAAATGAGAGAGGTACGAAATGTATAGGTGGCTGGAGGTAAGGGATGAGCTAGGGGGTACAAGGGGCATTTCTCATCTTTGCACGCAGGCAAGGCCCGTGCGCACGGTGTAAAGGGGCCGTGCGCACGGGGGTTTTGTGGGCACGATACAAGCCCCGTGCAATACCCAAAAAAACGTTCGGGGTGTCCAATAGCTGTAGCGGTGGCCCGTGCGCACGGTGTCCAGGACCCTGCGGGTACGGGTGTCCAAAGAGTTTCTGGATGCCCCGTGCACATGGGTGCACATGGGGTCTGGGGCCTCGTGGGCACGGGGTGTCCAGAGAGCTGATCTTCTCCTCCAGCTGCTGGGCACTGTCTTCCGTGCGTTCTTCTTGCTCCTCTTCATGGACTTGGTGTTCCTTCCTCGCTTCTTCGTGATGTTCATTAATTTACCTAATGCCACATAGGGTCTCTTTGTGAGGTACTGCCTCTGTCCCATAACATAAGATCGTTTTTCAAGCTAACAAAAAACCCATAATATAAGATCGTTTTTCAAGCTAACAAAAAAGATCTTATATTGTGGGACGGAGGGAGTAGTAGCCTAGTCTCATCTAAATGTATATGGATCTCTAAGAGGAGTGAGTTCACTTTGCTTTCAGTGGCATGTGTGCGAGCCCTTGTCAAACGTCCACTTGCAACCTGGCCCTGGCTCGGTCATTGTCCGTCCATATCGCTACCCCACCATCCAAAGGTATGAGATTGAGTGCCAGTGCGCGGAGATGTTTGAGTCCTTGACTGATCTGCCATAGCCACTCTGAGTTCTCGTCCATGCTCTTGGTATGGAAGCCCGACAAGTTGTGCCGTTTCTGCGAGGACTACTGTGCCAAGTTCTTCACCAAGCTTGACCTTTGCTCAGGCTATCACTAAGTCCGCATGCATCTCGATGATGTCCGCGATTTCACACACATGAACGCTTGTTTGAGTTCCTCGTCATGCTTTTGGCTTGATGAACGCATCGTTGACATTCCAAGCTCTCATAAACGAAGTGCTGTGGCCTTCTTACGCCACTTCGTGCTTGTCTTTGTCAATGATATTTTGATATTTAGTCCATCTTGGGCTGATCATTTTCGACATGTTCGCAGTGTTGCAACTTCTACAGCAGCACGAACTCTTGCTCAAATAGTCCAAGTGCACATACGGTGCAACATCTGTTGCATACCTGGGCCACGTCATGTCAGCCGACAATGTTGCTGTGGACTGTAGCAAGGTGCAAGCGGTGGTGGACTGGCCAATACCCAAGTCAGTGTGGGCACTTCTCGGCTTCCTTGGCTTCGCGGGGTACTACAGGATATTCATCCAAAACTTGGGCACCACCGCGACACCCCTCAGAAAGCTCCTCAAGGAGGGTTACTGCTGGTCCATGAAGGCCGACACTGCCTTTTAAGCCCTCAAGACGACATTGCCTATAACATCATTTTTGCACATGCCAGACTTCAGCCGTGACTTCATTGTTGACGTTGACTAGTCGGCCTCCTGTTCGGGCGATGCTGCACCAAGGTGATATGCACCGTGGCTTTCTACAACCGGCATATAAGGTCTTTATTTGCATATTTACCACACCTGTACGGGTATATATATATCATCCTATGGCCTCGTGGAAATACAAGTTGCTATTTCCCTGACAATTATCATTCATAGATCACGATTCAGTCCTCAAACATCACTTTCGCTTTTATTAATATTGTTAGGTTCATTGGATGGTGCATTTCCCACTGCATAGATAATATATTTTTACCTCATTCCAATTTTATCATGCCCATATATTATGTGGTCTCATGTTGCAGGAGGTTTCCTATCATTTAGGCCTAATATTCCCAAACGAATGCTGTTAGATGGTGCCCATACCATTGAATCTCATTTTGCGTTGGTCAATTACCAGGTATCTTCTGCCATATCTATATTTCACCAATTCTATGGGTGCACTTCTATTGGTAAAAGTTGTCTGTTTACTATCTGAGGAGTCACTTGCTTGAAACTCTTCAGATGAAGCAAATAAGAACGGCGTTGGCTATGGCTTCCTTGTTAAAGCGGACCCTGGTCAGTGAAGTTTCCTTTTGATGCTACTCAGGTTTGATTGAACAAAACCGAATAGTTCAGGGCTTACAGTGTGACCTTTTATAGCATTATCTTGTTTGTTGAGCTTTGTGCAAGCATGTGAATCATCCTTTTCTGACCACTTTTGGTACTTTTAGGTAATGCCTCCATTATGGTGCAGGCTTGATAGGATGTGGTTTGGGCATCCTGGAGTTATGGAAGGCACAATGACTAGACAACCTTTTCTCTGTCCAATGGATCATGTATTTGAGGTAATTACTCGAGGAACAAAAATCGTTTCTCATGATTTTTTTATACTTGTATGAATTCTGTCAGGAAGGTACCTATTGCCCTTTATCATTTTGTATGCTATATTTAACTACCCTTACGTAACTAGTTGCTGCAAGAGTTACAGTTTCAGACAGCTAGTCACAAATAGGTTCATCTGTTGGTCAACTGAACTGAGTAATTAAAAGAGTAAAAAATATATAGTTTTAAGTGAAATTGTATCATGTGATGACATGACAGTTCGGTATAGATGACGTAGAAGGTTGCTCAAAAGTATTTGCCCAAAAGCAAAAGGATAGTTCTACAATCATGTCTTCTGGATTTGGAGAACTTGATTTTAGGAATGCCTTCTTTTGTGATCTGGTGAACTACTCATATATGGCTGCCTCTGGCGGTCAAATGACCTGGATTATCCTTCACACTTTGCCGCAAACAAATTTGTATGACTATCAGGCAAGAATATAACAGCTTTCACGGTAGCTGCTCAGTTGGTTTCTACTTTTCATTTTACAAATACTCCCGCTGTAAAGAAATATAAGAGCGGTTAGATCACTAAAGTAGTGATCTAAACGCTCTTATATTTCTTTACGGAGGGAGTACATAAGTTTGTGTCTTCACACTACAGAATTTCGCACCATTTTTTGTTGAACCCAATCCGAAGATACTATTTTAATCTTTCAATCAGTCATCATCGAGGGTCTATCATTGTAAAAAGCCTTTGAATATTATGCCTACAAATGTGGAAGTGCAACATATTCTTTGGAGGCATGCTAAATATTGTTGAACAGAGAAAGTGTTGATAGAACATAGTGCTTTCAACCAAACCAGTTGACAATAGAGTGAAATAAAGTTGGTTGTACTTCACATGATAAATAGGGCAAACAAGTGCAGTGAGCACTACAGGATGTCTATAAAGTGGTTTGTAACAGTTGATATATCTGGGGACATGTCTCTTCAGTTTGAACTTTGGAGAAGAAATATACTCATATGCTAGCTTTGCTTGTGAGTTGAATTAGAGCAACTCTATCAGATTCCCTAAATTCAGAGCCTTTACAACCAAGCACCCTTTAAGTTCTTATTAAGGTTGCCGTGCAATCGCGCAAACTCAGATACCCTAAAAAAAAGCCTTTATATTGCTTCTGCCATGCCGGATCCATTTGTCACCGGGCTTGGCTTTTCCCCACTTGTAACCTCCGTTCCACCATTGAATCTGCACATCGTAAACTCCTGCACATGGGCCTGCAGGCATCCCCTCTGGGTGAGCAGCTCCTTGAGCGCGGTGGTGAAGGCTGACCAAATCCCGGCCTGCACGAGCTCCTCGACACTCTCAGCATCGCAGCCCAAGCGCGTCAGGTACTAGTCAAAGGAGGACTTGCCGTGTCATGGCAGATTGAATGGCCAGGATAAAAAGGAAATCCAATGGCAGAAGATCTACGGCTGTCAACATTTATTCATTTCCGTCCTTGTTATTATTTCTCTATTCAAGTTACTCTCTTTAACCTCAGGCTATATAAGGTGTGGTAACTAGAGGAGATGTATCGATCAACTATTCAGCCAAATATTGGTTATTATCAATACAACAATACCTTTACATACATACACCATATACACAAGTTCCTCACTGTTCTTGGTGATTTTCATACTTTTCCCCAATTTCTTGTTCTTGATCCACCTCGATTCCATGTCGATCTGTAGCGGCATCTGACAAATGGTATTCAGAGCCTCTCCTTCCTTGGTATTGGCTTGATTTGGGTGAGATCTGGTTAGGGTTTGTGTTGGCGCTGTAAAATCCCCAATCCCACCCTCCCAAATCAAGCGTTTGTGCGATGGATTTTCCCTATGGCGTTCCAGGCCACGGGGATCGATTCTCGTCTCTTGCTGGATGTTCCTTGGATCGTGAGACGACGATGATACTCGAACATCAATGGAAGCGGGCGGAAGGTCAACTACGGAGGAGGAAGGCTGAGCAGTGGCTTGATTCCTTGCTTGCTCCGACCTCCGCCCCACCGCAGCTGCTCCACCCTGCTCGTCCACCATGACGCCCTCAGCGCCCCCATCGTCTTCTCACTTCACCAAACTAAATGAGATGTTCGACGCTATGGGCAAGGTCCAGAATGCAGTCACTGATTTGGGACTGCAGCTAAGTGCGCTGTCACAAGTTCTGCGTGCTCGAGCAGCCACCACTGTCACCACCACCTCTATTGCAACCCTCACCACCACCGTTCCCACCCCCAAAGCTGCAAGTGTCATCGGCGCACCCCTGAGCAGCCTTCGTTCAGTGATTGACATACCCAGGGCAGTGTCTCCTTCATATGCGCAAGCCTTGACACAGCTGCCCACCAACTGTTCGACCGAGTGTCCAAGCCATACCATGATTCAGATCGAACCTCCAAAGGTCATGTCCACCGCTCCTGTTACAACGGCCACCATGGCAGCAATGACGCCTACCCACTGTTCGACTGAATTCCGGAGCAGCGCTACACATCCGATACAAGCAAAGTCAGCAACTAAAATCATGGAGTCATCACTGCCAACAACTTTGGTCATGCCTGTCACCTCTGCGCACTTGGATGCCCATGAATCCATCTGCATTCCCAGGTCAGCGGCGCTCAACGCCATCGTCACTGTCGTCCCAATACAGTCCATGGTGACAAGTGCCATCGTTGAAGAATGCATCGACAAGGACAGTCCGGAGAGGAACATGTCTTTTGTGGCGCCACTATCACGATTTTCTATCAGCCCTGTGTGTCAGGTGCTTGTCGTCGGTTTCCTTCCTGTAGAGATACGACCACCATGGCCACCACCTCTGGTTTGCAGCAGCACACTGATCACTCAAAAGGATTGGTGTACCAAAGAGAAGGGGATACCACAGCCGGATGTTTCACCACTGCCTTCGGCTGTCGGTTGTTTGTACCCAAGGGTCAACACCTGCACAAGATCTGTGAGCAGCCATTTGAGAGCTAGCTATCTAGTTCAGAAGATATTCAATGCAAATCTTATATTGCCATGGAACCCCGGCATACAGTCCGTAGCTGAGCCACATCATGTACGAGTAATGGACGATGCTGTTATATTAGCTTTTGCATATTCTGTTGAGCAGCTCCACCTCAAGCGGTTCGTTTTTACTGAAATATCACTGCCATGTTACTGGTCATTCCCTACCGTATTACGACTTGTATGAAACATGGTCGACCCTGATTACCGTTGGCGTGTGTTCCAACATGATCTTACTACACACAGTGGAATATGCAGAGTTGGAAGAAAAAAATGGACTGAATAATGTTACAGCAGCAACAACTGATGAGTGTGTTCTTCCTTTAAAACAGTCCCAGTTTTGTGCCTTTGAATTTTGGGAAGAGCAGCCTAAAAGTGCAGCTACTGCAGAAAACGATGCAAACAACCCAACAGGGGTCGGTGATCTATATATTGAAGGTGCTTTCACTCTCTGGGGCAAAATGTTGTTCAGTAATTCTTTGATGCAGAATGAATACTGGAAACTGGAACATCAACCGTTAATTGGTCCCGAGAAGGAATTGTTTTCTACTGGTAAAGTGTCTTGGTGCCATGTCAATTTTCCAAACTGGCGTAACCAACTCAGCAAGGAAAAAGAAGAGATAGTAATCAGAGGTATTGTTGATCTTTGTCTTTCGGGTGCTAGTGCTATAGTTGACCGTGAGAATCAGATGTACAACAAAGAGAAAAGTACAAGTCCACACTGGAAATCCAAAGAAACACCTCTTGATTTCTATTTCTATGATCAAAGTGAAACGAATAATGAATTCTTGTTGCTGTCATATACTGCACCTCAGTTCAAGCTGTTTTTGCCATGGGATCCCGGAGAACATGACCAATCAGTGCAATTTTCTGCCATGATACTTGTTGGAACTGTGGGACAGATTATTTCAGAACTTATCAACAATAGTGTTTATGCTATAAATTGCTTCAGCCTTATCCAGTTAACGGAATTTCCTTGGAACCCTGGCATTTTAGTCTGGTATGAGGATACTGAAGAGACGATTCCCATATCTTTCATAGACCTGTTGGGCATCACTTTCTCATACCAAGATTATCTATCTCATGAAGATCTCTTTCATCTGAAGCAACGAGTGTTTCCTAAATGTCCTTCTGATCAAATCTCAATGGAGACATTAACCATGATACGGATAATGGTTGCTGCTACAAGGTATAGCACCAGGGATAGTAAGTCTAGTACCAGTGTGGTTTTCAGCTTGCAACCACCATGGCTTCCACCCTTGTTTGTGAGCATTTACAGAGCGCAGACTATACCACTTCTGATTATTCTCAGCATGGGCGATACTATCATGACCATCAGTCAAGCACCGCAGCAATCAAACTTTTTTTGCTCAGAAAGTTGTTGCATTTGTGCTATTTGAGCAAGATAAAGTTTTCTTTGAGAACCTTTGGGAATGGAACTTTAGTGGCATTATCTCTCAGCAAGTTAAATGGTGTCCATTCATATTCTTATACTCGACGGAACCAACTTTAACATGGGACCCTGGAGTTCTTTGAACCATTCAGGAGTACAACCGAGCAATGAATCTTCTTATCATTAACCTGGCTCTGATACTCGGATGGCCTTACTCTGAAAGGCATGAAAAATCTCATGCATTACATTCATGGGTTAGTGATTGTTTCCCTCCCTGGACATCACTTTTTGGTCACATCATGCGGTATGTGGAGCACAAGAGCAGGGGCAGTTTATTGAGAGAACTCAAGTACATTTTTGTTACTGCTACAAGTCCAGGCAAGGAGGATTATAACCCTGCAGGCTGTGGTATCTTCTTAGAAACAAACCCTGCATTTTCAACCTTGCCGCTACTTGTATCACATATCTGGGTGTACAAGCAATTTGACCCAGGAGATCCACCATTGGCATTGTTGTTCAACATGGTGATGCAATCCGGGGAATGCTATGCTACAGTGCAACAAAGGAAGTGTCAGAAGCTCAAACATCTTGAAATCATATGTTGGACGTCTCCAATCTGCTCTCAACTCACTCGAGGGAACACCACACTTGGGGACAAGTGTGATTTCAAGAGGGATGGAATGTCAGGTACTAGTCAGAGGAGGACTTGCTGTGTCATGGCAGATTGAATGGCCAGGATAAAAAGGAAATCCAATGGCAGCTACGGCTGTCAACGTTTATTCATTTCCGTCCTTGTTATTATTTCTATATTCAAGTTACTCTCTGTAACCTCAGGCTATATAAGGTGTGGTAACTAGAGGAGATGTATCGATCAACTATTCAGCCAAATATTGGTTATTATCAATACAACAATACCTTTACATACATACACCATATACACAAGTTCCTCACTGTTCTTGGTGATTTTCATACTTTTCCCCAATTTCTTGTTCTTGATCCACCTCGATTCCATGTCGATCCGTAGCGGCATCTGACAGCATGCACACCGTGATGTCATGTCCCTCCTTGAGAAGGCTGAGCAAGGGTGATATGATGTCCTTCGATGATGAGCTTCCTACCCCGCCCGTGAAAACCCAGAACAGCCCACCCTGAACTCTGGCATCCATCTACGCCAGCCTCTACACACCGTCTCCGGTCAGCTTCCCCGGGAGGTGCGCTCAGCGGTGTTGTCCCAACTGCGCTCCCCCGGTAGCGCCAATGCGCTCAACACTGTCTACTCCCATCTGGTGCACCTTGTCACCATCCCGCCGCTTGGTTCCAGCGTGTACTACTGCCAAAGCCACGTCCCTAGCAACTTCGCCGCCATGCAGCTTGCAGAGCCACCACCACACCGTTGGTTCC